TTGTCCCTTCATTTACTAATTTTCCAAACACTCTGTGGATGGCTTGGTGCTGTTTCTAAACTTTAACTCTTCAGTGTATTAATAGTCCCTTCTAGCTCAACCCAAAATTGTCGAGACGTGTGGGTTTTTGCCAAAAAGGACAAGTTTTATTTTGGTGGCACTCAGTGAGCAACTTTTTAAAACCTGCGTGACTTCGTATTTTATTCGACTTTGAATGCACTGCTGGTGATCGCTGATAATTAGATCACATGAAAATATCTGGTTTTCGCCCAAAATAAAAGAAATCTTGTTGAGTTTTCGCAAGAAGTAAGAGTCTCCCCGATGGGTGTACCCAATATCGAAGGACGTCCGCTAAGAATCACGAAACCTATGTGTAAGCACTATTGCTATTACTGATAGAAGCAAACCAAGGCGAACTGGCGATTTACCACTCCGTTACGATTCAAACTTTCAGTCCATGATTCATTACAGAGAGCATAGCGGAAAATTCTGGTCGAGACAGAATTGATTTTTGTTTGTCTTTGATGAGCTGACAACATGAAAACTGATGCGCTCCATGAGCATCGTGTGAAGCTGTACTTAGCTAGCCCAAAATCTACGTTATGGAGGAGTGACTTTACGACAGCAACTCGTATACCCCGTAAAGGTGCCTCCTCTTGAAAAAAAGGTGGTTAAACCAGTGGAAAGCTGCACCAACTTCACACTGCCTGCCTAAAAAGCGACAGACCCTCGTCCAAGGTCCCGTCAAGCGTTGTTCTTAAAGTAAGTGATGATGAATAAAAGGTTGTAACTACTTCCAACTAATGGGACGAACTGCGTAGGAAGCAGTTTTCACTCAAACGCGATTGCGATGACGAAGAAGAGGCCCAGTTTCTTCTAGGTAAGACATTAATCGTGAATATGAGTGGCCGGATGATGGTATCGCAATAACAATAGGCAATTGCTTTAATTTCCTTTTCCTGCACACGAAGGTGGCTGTTCGAAACATGTTTCTTAAAAGAGCCCTCTTTGTGTGTAAAGGATGGGAGGAGAGGAAATGGACCAGGATGTCTTTGTTACTTAGTTTTCGGTACCACTTTGTCATGTAACCGCTACTTCATAAATTGATTTGAACGTTAAGAAATGGAAGCCAGGTCTCTTTTGGTTTCTTTTGGGTGAATTTAATATACTCAAACAGCTCATTCAATAATTCAAAGCATTTGTCCATCTCCTCCTGCGTAGAGAAGATGACAAAATAATCATCTACATATCTGCAGTAGAGTTGTGGCCCTTCGATAACCGGGGCTTCTATTTTGGACATGAACTCAATGGCCAGAGTTGGTGCCAGTCGCTGTCCCATTGCCAACTCCCTCATTTGCGCGAAATATTTCCCACACCATCTGAAAATCGAGCAGTTTAGGTACTCCTTTAAGAGAGCCATTAACTGTCGGTTGGACAAGCCATCCGTATTTAAAAAATAGATTATTCATTTATTCTCAGTAGAAAATATATATGAAACACAGGCATTTAGCTTAGCACTAAAGGGAAATACGTACCAAGGACCAATAATTTTAGTCTAAACAAGATTTCTTTTAAAGTTATGTTTAAATCGCTAAGATTACACGGGGTTGAAAAATAAACTTTTTTGAAATTCTGTTAGACAATTCTTGGGAAATTTTCACTTTTCGGCGGTGCTCAAAGCAGAACAAAAAGCAAAATTGTGCGGTTTGTCCCAATGGCGTTAGACGAAGATTGCACGGGATCAGGTATAATATAGCTAATCTCTTTTAAGACACACTATGACGAATAATAGCTGCAAAACGGGCAGTTCTCAAAACCGACTTCCTACTAACATCGGTTGTGCAACATGCCACCTACACGTTTGGCGAACATTTTCGTAAACAAAGTTAATCAGCTGAACCCGCAGCTGCAGTTATTTTACGGTATGAGACTCGTACGCGCCACCATGCTCGAACAAGACCAGCGCCATGGACGACGATTGCCAGGGAAAGAAATGAATAGCAAATGTGCTGAGGCCAGCACGACTCGTGAAGACGGACAATCCAGGTCTACAAGCAAGTAAGTATTAACCTCGGCGTTGATCAAGAATTCTCTACTTCCTTGATAAGGCAGGCACGAGGTTGTTTATACATTCTTTATTCACAAATGCTAACATTTCGGTAGATTTTGCCTTATTCAGCTCTGTCTGTGTGCTTAGCTAGGTGGAGAGCTAGAAACCCGGCAAAGTACTCCTCCAGTACATACACGGCAGAGGAACGCAATAGTTATGACTTTGAAGAAGTAGTAAGGATCCTGGAGCAGAAATCAAGAACATCAATGTGCAAAACTCTTGAGCGATTCTTGATGAATTTTAAAAATTCAAGGACTATTCGAAAGGACAGATGCGTTACTGGAACACGTGACTTGGCTCCGCATCTGAGGTCAAATTTTTAATCCGAATGAGTTTCTTTAATGAACAGCATGCGGATTGTCTTAATCCTCAAAATACGATAATGGTAAGCGTTTATTTGTAACTTAATACATTCACTTTCGACTGAAGTGTTTGTCGAATACTGGTCTGTTACCGTAAATCCTCTTCCAAACACTCCATAAGGCGAAGTTTTCGGGACATTATCTAGTCAAAAGTGGATATTAATATCGTCTATGTGAAACAACAAATTGCGTAATTTGCCCTTACGGCAGGGACGGTGATTGCATGAGTTCAGGTACGATATACCTGATCTCTTGTAATAATTGCGGAGATGAATATATTGGCGAAACGGGCAGACCTTTGTGTATCCGTATAAAAGAACACCTAGATGGCAAACGAAAACTAAGACGAAGCACCCCACTAGGTACGCATAGGATACAAAAGCATAGCGGAGACGATTTTGAAGTAAAAGTCAATATAATTGCAAAGGAGACTAAAACATCAGCGCGAGAACTTCTTGAGGCTTTTTGGATAAATGCCAAAAACTCTGCAATGAATAGCAGGGATGAATGCCCAGAGTCATACGCGACCTGATTCCGTATGTTCGCATCAATTTCTGACGTGGGATGGTGCAGCAACCATATGCGACTGTAATCAGCTGTTCTAATCTTCCTGATTGGAAGCCACAAAAAAAGCGGTGACTGTCTCGAGAAGCTGTTGATCATTTAACTACTATTGTTTTTCGTCTTTTTATAAGCGTTATTGAAGCGTTTGGCCTAGTACATTGTATAACAGTATACCCTTCCAGGCTCTGAAGAAGGCGATACTGCCGAAACGTCAGCTAGCGTTGTATTGTATTGTGTTTTTCTATGGAAGTAAATGTACGCTGTATAGCAACCTCGCGATTGCTGAACAAGAAAACGACACATTCATATTCCAATGCCGAGGTTAAGAGAAAGTCGATCTTGGGAACTAATCACTTGGACGTAGCCACGCCCATTAGCACCGCCATTTGGCTTCTATCCACGCTTTGGAACACACCGTTGCCCTTTCCTCATCATTGTTTGCTCTCCCACATAATCCTTTCATTCACAGTTCCTACGATTCACCTAGGCACAAATAATGTTATACCAAAAGCTGCAGCCCTTACATTTCCAAATGTTGTCATAGATTCCTTGTAATTAATGCCTGTTGTTAATGTAGCAGTTTTGGTAAATACTTTCATCGCTCACAGGTACTCTATCCAACATTTCTTCATTCCTATTTAGAAAGCATTCTGGCTATCGCTATTCACATTCTTGCACTGCGAGCATGTAAATCTTAACTCTTTTATAATCGAAGCAGTATAATCGTATATTTTTACACAATCAGTATTAGCGAATTACTCATATCCTCATCACATTGTTATCACCATTTTGCAATATCACATGCTCACATGTGCATTCTAATGTGCTAACCTCTTCTACGGGCACTATTGTATTCTTCACCATATTTATACATCATAGTACTCCCCAGTCTGTGACCGAAATGCTCTCTTATCTCTGGCTAGCCTCTTCTTATGGCGCTAGTGTACTCTCCGTCACACTTATACACCGCTGCACTCCCTCAGCCTACGGCTCTCCATCATCTGCATCTGGTCTCTCATGCCTTACCTTCTCCTCAGAAAGCAGAATAAGGGTACTGTAGCAGGCTCAGTGCTGTTATGAATACACCTCGTTAATGACGTCACACCGGCCTCCATATTACGCAGCTGTATATTGTACATACATTTATAATATCATTGCGTTATTGTGTAAATAATATGTACATATATACAACGATATATTCATAATAGCCCAAGTCGCCCATTATGTATAATGGCCCAAGTTCGAGGTTTTGCGGCACATATGGCTACGCGAGCAAAAAGTCCCGCGAGCTATTAGTGGTCTCCTTAGGAAATTGCTTAGTCTCGATTCCTCAGAACCTCGTAAGTACGTACGAGAACGCGATTTTGCGATTGCCCACGACTTGTACAATTTCACATTGAGGCTCGAACGTTCCAGAAGACAACTCGGTTCTGGTAATTTTCGGAACCTTGCATTGCTTCGCAGCAACGTTACTTTAAATAAGCGGGTAGTGTTCTTTATTGACGTAGAAAACATGTTCAACTGAAAAATGGAATTTGAAGCTATTTTTCATTCTTCTCTAAACCATTGCCGTAGTTTATACTGACATCCCACAAATAAAGTATAAACAAACAGGATATGAAAGAGGTTTACAGTTCCTTTTAAGACGAGGCATAACAACTATTCATTTCAGAATACAGTATCGGAATATCCATCCTCTGCATTTCTCAACGTTTATTACCGTCATTACAATCCTCCTGATCAATCCTCTTAATGGTCTATACATCTTCAATAACTCGTTATTCTTATTCACGAGATTACAAAACCTCATAGAACGAATGACTACATAATATACATATGCCCTACTTAAAGAATTCTTAGTTGTTGAAGAGTGCTTGTGTACATTAGTTTGCCTACTACAATTTCAGAGATGTTAAACGTAACAATGTGCAAAGTGGATTCGACGGTCGCACAGCTGCGGTCCTTTATTCATCATCATCCATCGACGACCTTTGCAATACTGGCACAGGAAATCCATGCTTCATATCCTTCCCTGGCCACATGTACGTCTTATTTATCAAATCTGTATATTCAACCGAGTACACCTGTTGTCGTATGAACATTTCCTGCAAAACCGCTACTTTAGTGATCCGAGAAAGTATGAAATCTCCAGCTATCCAGTAAAACCTGTCTATATTAAGCTTGTTTTTTGTATTACTCCTCTATTTTCCTCTACATGGATCTACATGGGATTTTTCAAAACTGCCCTATGATAGCAGTATACGGATTGTCTCAGTACTTAAGTGTAGAGGACAGAAAAATGGTTATGAAAAATGCGAAATCGCCAGAAGAACAACTGCGAATGAACTTGTTAACATCCTATATCATCTCAGGAATGATAGCTAGTATTATTTTATTACATGGCCCAATACCACATTACTGTGCGGATCCCAGCCCTTCGATTTGATCCTTCGCATTCACCACCATCTACGAGTAACTTCGAATATTTCTACGTGTATATTCAACTGCTCCATATTTTCGTCCTTGTTGTGACTATCTCAAAATGTTGGCCAAGTTGATTCTCCATATAATCTCGCAGTAACCGTGATGCTGCGTTCCCACGTGAATTGGAGGAACTCAGCTTCTCCGAAACAATTCTCGCACCAACCCGAAGGAATGCGCTTTTTGGTCTCCAGCGGAGTCGTAATAGCGCCTAAGCAGGTTGAGCCGTACGTTCAATGGACAAGACGGTCTTCATTTCCTAGCAACAAGGACTTTCTGACCGCTAATTGAGTTAGTGGTTGGCGAATGAAAGCATAATCAATTAATCAAATGGTAATACTCGTTAATATTGTTGAACATAAAAAAATGACAAACCATGTCTTCAGGTTTAGGATGCAATGTCGCCAGGTCATGCCTATATAAGTACTCACCGACCTAAAAACAGCTCAACATTAAACAATTAACAGAAGATAAAACAAATGAGATCAAAACTGAAGATAAAATTATTACACCAGCTACAAGTTCTGTTACAAAATGATGCTATTGGTAAATGATTAATCGTAAATTAAACTACTTTAGTCATTCAACCACCGCCATTAGTAGAACTAAGCCAGTCATTGGATCCCACAGTGACTTCATGCCATCAATGTAGAAGCCACGCCCTTTCCTGGCAATATAGTGCTCATGCAATCTGGACAGATGATTAATCAGCGCTACGCGGATATGAGGCAGAATCCCGCAGTCGAAATCAAGCAACTCTTCATGAATCAACTGTGCTGGTGCGCAAAGAAGATAACCTAGGAAGGTTCCCAGATAAACAACACAGCGAAACCATCAGACACATATGATCCTTTGCTTGTGACTGTCGTTCATGTCGAGTAGCGTCCGCAGCGCATGTTTCGGCTACTGGAACATGGTGGTTAAATTGGAGTACAAAACTCATTGGTGGAAATAGTGACTGAGAGCCAATGACTGAGAATCCACGTCGTGTGCCAGAAATTTTACACTTTATAAATTTATATCAGCGAGTTGGATTTATTCGTCGAATAAGTGCAATTATTTCGATACGGGGTTTATGTTTAAAGGATAACGTCTCAATTGAACACAGACTTGCTTGATCAAATTCGACGTCTATGGAGGCTTGATCTTTGTGGATATTACACCAGGCGACAGAGAGGACAACAATAGGCGAGAAACAACGCCTGCATCACGTAGAGGAATTATGCAGCGGGAGCACATCATCAACTGAATTGTTGAAATCAAAACCGAAGAGTAACGATGGCGGAGAAGATTGAGATGGAAATAATGAGCACCGAATGCTAATTTTAGTGGATTATTATACTAAAAAAATGCTACATAATAAGAAGAGTTTGGAAAACGGAGTGCATAAATGAAAAAGCTATTGAAATTTTGTAACAGAACATTGTTGCCGAGTTAAAATTAGAAGCGGAATAAAATGATACCTCAACAGCTATTTGAATAGATAGTTCGCGGATGCTCTTCAATCGTGGATAAAGTCTGGAGTAAGTGTAGAGTGATTTTTCGGTTACGGCTTCCGCTATCTTCTGAAGGTAAAGAATTACAGCGAGTATCCCGTTCTGGGCAAATGTTTCCGATAGAAAAAAAGACCGTCTGGTTGCTGGTTGTTGCTGCGCTTAAAAACAGCAGAATTACCACCAGTGAAGATATATATATATATATACATATATATATGTATACATAAACTTATACATATATATATGTATATCTCTGTGGCGCAGTATTGATGAAATAGACTTTATGATATTCACTTCCACTGTCCATAGCCTTGCTCGGCTCGATAGGATATCCCGCCATTTCATCTCACCTATATACGCTTTTAACCTCTGCGTCGTAAGAGTTTAGCATTTTCAACGAATATTCAACAACAATTCATCGGCGTATGAGCAAGTGGGGCATTTTAAATAGAAATTTCAGCACACTGCTACCGTACCGTTGGGTACTCAAAGTGTTTCAGTTTTATGGTTCGTCAAATAGAACGACGGATCACTTTTTTCTACAGGATCTCTAACGGTTAGTGGAGCCACGTGGAGAGGAAAGAAGGCTAAAATCGAATTTTCTTTAACCAAGCTACAAGGAAGATTCATACTATGGACTTATTCTTAAGTCTGCTCCAGAACAACTTATGTCGTGTGTAGGCGTAACTACAATCAAATGTGTGCGTTTTTGTCTACAAATGATTAAAAAGAATTCCGCATAAAAAAAATTGGTTGAAGAACGTGTACAATATCTAAAACTCTACTCTAAACTCGAAAAAAAGATACTCTAGACTCTAAAAAAAACAACTTCAAAATCGGATCAGAAGACCGTCGAACTCTCGGTACTTCAAAATTGGAAAAATTCCTTTTTTTTTTCTTTCGAAAACAGACTAACCCTGGCAGCAAGGAGGAACAATTTGTCGGGAATCCTTTTCGCTTTAAATAAGACGCATCCCAGTGCGATTCCGGGAAAGATGTAGGCATTGTTCCCTTGCCCTGGCTTATATAGTTTGCCGTTTAATTCCACGTTTTCAAATGGTGAACCGGAGGCGAAAAGCACAGTACCCTGAAACGTGGAGAGATTTCTCGACCATTAATACAAATCGAATTCGGCTCATTGTAGGAAAATAGCGATCATATTTAGGGAGGTAATATCAGCAAACCCACATTTGTGCAACGATAGGCTGTCTCAGCAGTGCACTCAGCCTTGCTTGTCGGATTGGAGAGAGCGAAAATGATAGGCCTTGGATTGATTCTCGACATTTCCTGAATAATCTCCTCGGTGAAGGCACCAGCTACCGTTGAAGCACCTTTAATTGATTTTGTTTAGAAATAAAGCTTGGACCATGGATCACTGTTCTAGCCCAGTCTCTATCAAACTATTTCGAATACACACCATTATCGTCGTCTTTCAAACACTTAACTCAGCACAGTTCCATTGAAGGCTGAAATAAAAAAAAGTGGGAAAATCCGAAATGTTTTCTTCATACTATTTCGGTGAGGGAAACGGAAAGAAACACACTGCGGTATCAGTAATGACATTTAGCATAATAATTGCCCGACATCTCGACAACTGTTCGATGATTATAATATTAGGAAACTTTATGAATTGGTACACCTACTAGAAGAGACTCTGCGCCGTTGTTCTGAAGGTACATATAGTTTTTTTAGAATACTATTTGAGCAAAATTTTGTCGGCGAAGGCTAACTTTTTTGGTTACATCTGCATCGAGACAAATGCCTTAAGCGTCTTGAAAATTTACAGATTTTAGTGGATATTATCAAACACCATCCCCACGAAAAAATTTTTAAGCTGAACTCCACTGAGGAAATCAAGAAACTTGGAGTGCACCACAGTTTGGTATCACTTTTTCACTATCTCTGACGAAAGCCATCAGTGGCTGATCGGGTTCCGCAGTTATATTTGTTGACTTCTAGATCAGTTCTAGACAGAAATCGGAGACAGAAATTACGAATTCATCAACTAAGGGAACCAAACTTGGATGGACTGCCAGCAACACTCTGCAATTCAAAGATACCGAGCAAGCAAAAGGAAGAGAGTAGTTTTGGCACTCGAATCAGAAAAACTATTGACCCCGTGGTACTGGTGGCCAATCAAGTTGTTCCATTTGCTAAGGTGAGGTGATCGAGGTCAACACATGTGCGCTTAACACTCACGACATGTCCTCTACAGGGCTTATATGATGCGAAATGGCAGCTTCCAACTTTAGAACAATACATCTTAGTTCATTACGAAATTAACATAATTGCAATCAAAGCTATTGAAATCTATAAATCTTTGCTTCCATTATGAAGGTTATCTTCTTCCAGCGCGATAAAATTCTGGATTTCTAGAGCACACCGATAGTTCTTCTGCTTTTTTGCTTCAAGGCTCATATTTTCAAAAGAAAGCAAACGAGAAAATGGGATTCCATCTAACAGGAAAGGATAGCGCTACCCAATGCTGTATCCTTCACGTTTGCAGTTGAAATCCTGAAATGATTTGTTGATTGCTAAATTACCATCAGCTGTCGAAAAACAAGCCTTGTCGCAACGCTTAACGTCGAATAGTGATAGATTTTCGGGCTGCGTCACTAATATATGTCTCTGTCGTCAATGAGCTGATAACCGGGTCCCACGACTTCAAATGATAGAGGCAGGAACACTACAATGCTACTGAAATTAAAAATGCCTTCACTAGCCCGCTTGTGATTGCGCTGATTGTTTAAAATTTTTCGAGCAGCTGAGTCGAGAAATCTACAGACTTATAGAAAACACACTGCTTCATAGCCCTAGGATCATATAGAGTTTTCATAAAATAACCCTTCAGTTGCAAATTTGTTCAGAAATAAAACTTGGAGAAGATTGACGAATTATGAATTTTTCAAAACTTCTAAAAACGGCAGCCGTAAAACACCAATGGCAGAATGTTGAACGCAAACTACTAGTGATATTAAGGTGATACTGATATATTATCAACATTTTTCCTGTTCGAAATACGAGTGTCCAGAAAGAGGACATGAAAAAAGTCTAGAGAGATCCAGAAAATCAGGATTCAACCATAGAAGAATAAGGAAACTTGTGCCCTTTAGACAAAGATCTGTAGATTCCAGTGGCTTTAATTCTGCTTAATAAAGATAACTATGTGCCGCGACCATTGTCTTAATCTTGAAAATGACCACTACTTTCGAAAATATCTACCTCCAGCGTTATCAACAATGTGCCTGGAGGGGGATGGAGTTGAAGAGTTATTTGCCTTAAAGATCATTTTAGTTCGTAAAAAAAGACAGCAAATGGTCAACTAATAACAAATTCTTGTGGGTTTTGATGAGTTTCATTTCATGCGTAACTTTCTTTGCAGTTTGTTTAATCTGTTTTGTTGAGAAATACAAATCAAACGAGCATTTATATGAAGACCTACCGATAATTCCTGCTGGTCTTACAGTCTTCACTACTTCCAATAGACTTTTTGTATCAGGCAAATCCTAAAATGAAATTACAACCTCGTTGCCTCACAAATAGACATTAAGTCATGTACCATTCAAAGTTTAATTACCAAAACGTTAAGAAAGGACCTGTAGCGTGGACGGCTTGACTTAAATTTTAGAATACTGTCATTCCCACAGCCTTCAGGCTATCTTGAATCAAAAATCACTGCAAACCCCTTCTTTTGAAGATGGAGGTGTTGTTTTAAACGAAACTGGAATGAATAGCAAAGGGTGACTATGTTTTTTAAACCACCATGTTTTGTTCTCCCATCATTGGTTACCTTTCTTCCACAAATCATCAATTTCAAATGACTCACTTTTGCGAAGTGTAGATGTCTTTCTGATAAATTCACGGATCGGCTTTTTGTAAGCAAACCGTCGATATCCATCATGTAAATGTTAGCGAACGCTTCCTCCTCCGTCAGGCCCTCGTCAACCATTTGGCGAACGCACATCTCTGCCACACCGGTCGCAGCCTGATTTTTCATTTACTCTATTTATTTGCTTCTATTTACATTATTTAACAACCATAAATTCCTACAAGCAATGGCAATGCACTAGTACCAAATATTGTTAAAGTAACGAGAAAGAAACAATTACACAATACGGAACTATTATAAAATCAGCTGGCATCAACATATTCATATATATATATATATATATATATATATGTATATACATATATACACATATATACATAGAGTGATAGCTGATTACTCCGTTAGGTTAAGAAACTACCTCAGGTTAAAGCAAAGCAAGGACCTCTGCGGTGCAATGGAAAACACGTAAGCACCCTGAAAGAGTAAAGGCGGGTTCGAAGCGCATCTCAGTTCCCTGTTTTGCTCTTATCTAAGCATCATTATGGATATACGTATGCAAATATATACATGTATACACATGCACATATATATACACGTATATATAAGTCTATATATATATATATACTAGACTATATTTATTATGAGGTTACTTGTAGTCTGCAGCATCAGTGAGCCTATCAACACGCACATCTTACACTTTGCGTGGCTCTAAAATTACATCGAAATCATGTGTAGAGCTTTCGAGGTTAAAGAATTCCTTGGTCCATTAATTTTGCTCCATTCTGATTTCTTCGATTTCTAAAGAATTCATGATGCTGAAACAAAGTTAGTTCTCGAAATGATTGCGAATTATGGTTCAAGACACTACGCTTTCTCATTTCAGTGAATGAATAATCTGCTCACTTTTTTACAAACCACGACAGACTATCATCTTTGATTGTAAGCTATAAAAAATGGGAAACCATCAAAGGTAAAAGTTTGGCCAATGCACCTATTTATTTGTCATAACGGCCAGACAGCAAATAGTTCGATCTATGCTTAGCATTACAACCGAAAACTGCTTCGGAATTTGAAAACTGATGGAAACTCACCCCCCCTGCACCGAAAAACACTAGCTTTTGTTGCGAAAGCTTTTTCTTCGTGACCCTTGTCGTTGCTAGCAATCCGGCTACAACAACAGCTGCTGTTCCTTAAAACGAAGTATGAAACTGACAAATTACTCGAATAATGAAAGCATTAAAAATGCCTTGTATGTCGTCATTAAACATGCAGTACTCGTTTTTGTACCTATCCAAAAGCCGATAAGCGTTTTGATTTCCAAAGTCCTCGAATTGAATTAGAGTATCACGACCAAACCTATAACACCAGCAGATATTCTTCTAACCGTTTCAATAAGATTATTTCGTCTAAGATTTTTAAGAAGTGTGAGTTGGGCTGGTATTACCGTTTTGTGCACGCCTTCATGAAGTTGTCAATTAACGTGTCGTACTCTTGACCACGAACTCGCGGTCTTCGAAGTCCAATATAAAACGGATCGTTCAGCATTGTCTAAAAAATTACTGGCTGTACTCTTACAGAATCCCAAAAAAAATTGTGCACATTTTCAGAGACTGCGAAAAAAAAAGCTGACTTCCTGCGTAATTTTTGATCACAATGATTTATAACGCGTTAATCATTGAAGATCACATCTCCCTCAACCACAGCCACCACTTTACCGTAATCATGAAATTCTTTCCGAATGCTTTAACTATTAAGTTACTACCGTATTTCTCCCAAAAATTGTGCCTTAGTTATGCTTTTGAACTCAGCAGAAAATAATGATTCGCAATAGATTAGTTAGGAGGCGGAAGCGCAGTGGTATTGAAGTCGGTCATTATGAGCACGGTGCCGGTTCCATCCTGCCTCACGTTCACCAAGCCTGTCACCCCTCCGGGATCGGAAAATTGCTACCGCACTTACCCGGGAAAAAAATCACTCTGTTATCCAACTGGGGACGCTCTTGCTCACCAATCCCAGGATTCCTGCGAGAATCGACTCAACCAGCATCCTACGATATTCAAGGTGAAATCAAAAACCTCAGACAGCAGCCGAAACAAAACGTAAAAGTTTCTATAGTGAATGATGGATGCGAGGATACGAATCGAATGTGAGAAGTGCTGAGATCCGCACAGTAGATGTGAAGACGGGTCGTGTAAACAAATTAAAAGAAGATTAGTTTACCATAAGTTAAATAACCGCATTATATAACATTTGCATGCCGACTGTTTACCGCCTCATCGTGGCTAGGAGGTGTTCCTGGGTGTCGGGCTGCGATGTACAGCCGAGGGATTCATCCTCTGACAGGGTCTCCAAGCTGAGAACAGGCCAGGAGTTTCCATCAGGAAACCCAGTTAAGAGTAAATCAATGCCAGGATCCATCACCATCCCGGTATCAAACTAGTCTCATGGTTGCAAATCTCCCCCTGATCGACAAGTGCGCCGAATGCTTGGCGTGGATTTTAGGAATATATTGACTTCGGGACTCCATGGAACCACAATGGTTATGCGAGCAAGATATACTGAGGCCCACACAACTAGTGAAGACCGGCCATCCAAGTATCCAATTAAGTATATTTGAGCCACCACGCTAATTCATTACACTTCTATTCCCTATTTTCTTACAACTACTGTCGTTTCAGGCAACCAATTATCTGTTAGCCCTCTCTAAGCTCTACCTCTAAGAAGTGATAAGCATTCAGTATCCAGGAGCTTTCCAAGACTAAGCTGAGACTAAATTGTTTAAACAACATTAAGAGCGACAAAAATGTCAGGAAGTGGAAATTTCAACAGATGGTACGTACATTATGTTTTAATAAGAAGGATGGTGGGGTATAACTAATGTGATACCTTATTAAGGTCAATGTAGAATAAAAATGCACTTATTCCAATTGACGATAGTTATTAACGGCACGCATTACTACTGTATGCTAACGTAATCACTATGCGCAGAACACTCCATTAAAAAGTGGACATCTAAAAAAGTAGGAAGTCAACAAGGAAGACAACCTTTAACCAGTGATTGTTTCTTCACTGTAGGACTTTTCACGATGAATGGTTGGCAAGAAGATTTGCGTTAACTTTTATATTCATAAAACGTCAGCAATGTGTTTCATTTCACTTGTTAACCCATAACGCCTAGTGTGGACACTACGATGTCCATTTTGAGTTTAATGCATTCCAGAAATTTTTTCCCTACACTTTGTATATTCATTCGATACCTAGTCGAAATCGGGTTAAAATAGTAGGGATGAGACAATGAAAACCATTCTCTACACTTGACGATTTACAAAAAGCTTCATAAAAGTTCGTTAACCTGGCAATTTCACTAACATTTAACTGCTAATACGTCTTGTAACAGTTCCCAGGATCGACTTTCTATTTACCTCGGCATTTAGTTACAAATTCGTCATTTTTTCTCAGCAACAGCGAGGTTGTTAAACAGCATACGTTTACTTCCATACAATAACACACATACAAGACAACCGTAGCTGACGTTTTGGCAGAATCGCCTTCTTCAGTCGTCAACCATATGTGACTCTGAGCGGCTGTTCTTCCTCGGACAGATGAACAAAGTGGATCTGAAGAAGGCGATTCTGCCGAAACGTCAGCTACGGCTGTCTTGTATGTGTGTTATTGTATGGAAGTAAACGAAGCTGTTTAACAACCTCGCGATTGCTCAGAAAGAAAACGACGAATTAACTGCTATTTCATTTTCATTACTATGGTCAATGAATGAACTGCAAAACACTTCCAAGTGCTGAAAGGAATGTATTTGCATAATGGAAAATAGTAGCACATAGTAAATAATAGCGTACATAACATTCATACCAACAGGACGTTGGAGCAGTTTCTTCTGCAAGTCTGTCCACTTCAAAACCCACACGCACTCTAGTTATTGAAAAATATTCTTTATTCGCTAGAAACTAGAAGGTGCTGGGGCGACAAAAATTAGCCATATCCCGAAGAGCCGCGCTAAGCGGCTCGGGTCCGTCAAGGGTTCAACTTACGTGAAAAAGGATGAGATTTTCTGAAATTTTTCGAACGTTTTTATCTAAGACGAATGAAATGAAAGGAAATACGACCTAACCTGATTATTAGTACCAACATCAATGAGAACTGGAAGGCACCATTGCGGATGGAGCCCTGCCAAAGCGACATACAGTGACAACTTCCCTACGGGAATTCCAATTCCATAAGCACCCAAGTCTCCCAAACCCAATATCCTTTCGCCATCGGTCACAACGATCGCCTGATGAAGAATAATGTAAGCCAATGAGGGAGATTATATGCTTCTTCTTTCCTTTTTCTTATAGAAAAAAAAGTTATTACCGCAATGCCGTTGAAAAACAATAGAATAGTCGAATTGCACTGAGGTGTTCAGATAAATGATAATAAATTTTTGATAAGTATAAATTCACTTACTATCTATAAATATAAGATACTTTAATAGGAAAAAGTGCACGGTTATTTGAGTTCAACAAAAACAGCATTTTCCTAACTCCTAGTATTCTTAAAAGTATTTTCGAATGAGTAAGGAGTTTATTTCCTTCAGAACTAAAAAGTTCTCACCTTTCAGAATTTTATAAGTATTAAAACAGAAATGACAAGAAATTATGCTTTAGAGGAATCTTTACTGAATTACTGTGACCTGGAAATTGGTAAACCCTTGGCGAAGTAAACATATGGAACGTTTAAAACGGAATCAGCCTCACCAATGACTTATTGTCTCAATCTGACGAGGGTCTATCTGAAATCTGAAAGAGAAGAGAGTATTTTCACCCGGGAGTCCATCTAAAGCGGAACCAATTCAGGAAATTGGAGCAATCTTTTAAAAAAAAACTCACTCCCACTACAACAAATCTACTATATTTCCAATCTATTACGCCCGGCAACTAATGTGACTACGCTTTCGCAGAACCACTTTGAAATTCCGAGAAGAGAATCTTCCCCAATAAGCAATACATCTTTCATGGAAATTTTCGTGGCATCTGTAAGATTCTTCTACAAAACAACTCATCGAAGTAGCTAAGTATGGAATATAACCACTGACCAGATCGATTGATTTATCGATCGTCGATTGATCAGCTCTTGGTTCTTCAATCATACGAAGAGTTTTAGAATAGGTCCTTTCTAGAAAAAGGAACTTTGTGTTACAGTAAAAAATCTTCACTTACTTGTATACTTTTCGATGGCCAGTTGGACAGAATTTGATAGATCTTGCTAATCGAGTTGTCATTAATAGTGACGTAGAGCCCTCTAAATTCCATTTCACATATAAGAGGCGAAGTCGTAAAAATAGTCCAGACAGAAATACAGATGAATCTAAAGCCCACTTTGGATTTCGATAAATAAAGCCAAATTTCTGGCATGCGAGCCCCACAGTCGGAGTGTAGACGATTGGCATAAGTTCTTTGATGTTATCACATAGTACTCGATAAAAAAGTTTCTCATTACGGTCTTGGAGACTGTCCAAGTGGATGAACCTGAAGCGAAATGTGTAGGAAAATATGGAAAAATAGGCAACTCCATACGATGCTGACTTCTCCAAGTCATTAGCTTCATCTCGAAGTTTCTTCATAACACGATAAGCTTGTTGTTCTTCAGTCATGAAAGCAGGCGGAAGAAGTCCATGAATTCCAAGGTACTGCCGTTCGTACAAGGAGAATGCCATACCCTAGATGAAGGTAGGGATATAATGTACCAAATACCAAATAAAGTTCTATAGAAAAGAGAAGTCAATACAGTTGAATATGACAAGTACCTATTAGGTAGTAATGATAAAATTTTTTATTTGATACAAGCATTGACCTCGCTTGTAGGCATTTCCAATCCTATTACGATGGAAAACAATATAACCTTTTGACAGACAAATTATTGCACGGTTGGTCAAGCCTACAGAAATCTACTCGGAAAAACAAAACAGCACTCAGGAGAAGAAAGGGAGCTATACAGCACGCATCTGTATGAAAGATAGACACATGTCACAAACACCTGCGTTTAGTTCGTAACATTGTGATTATCGTATTGAAAATGTCTCCGTGAAAACTTACCTTATTGAGACTGGGCGTCTTCAGTAGTTCAATACCCCTTTTGGACGGAGTAACTCTTTCAGGACGATATAGCTTATGTAAAGCTAACTGTTTCGGATCACTTAGATCGAACTCTCGGACGCATAATAGAGATGTGGTCGAAAGATGGCGCACACTGTAAGTACGACGAACAAGTGGGAGAACAATGGATGAAGAAGGGATACAGCACTTTTACAAACAGGTGGGAGCATAGTGGACGAAAAAAAAGGATTGAGCATTCTCATTTGCTACAGTCTGCTCATCTGAGACACCAAGCAATATTATAAAGCACTGCCCCACGAGGTCAACCGATAGAACGGATGAGTTCCGCTAGTGTTTACTGTAGAAAACAAAGTAATACTCCAGTAACAGGTGGGATTATGTACTTTATCGAACTGAAAGCGATGGTTCATATTCTCTTGAACTTATAGATTTCACAGCGGATGGGATGATAAGAACACAGGATGAGTTCTTGAGGCTTTGACAGAATTCTAATTTTAATCGGTGATACCACATTAAAGAACCGTTACTTTTCGAAACCGACTCATTTAACCTTCAGTGACCTTTGGAATACCTTCTGCTAACACCGCTAAACCATAACTGGTAAGTTTTCGAAAACTTTGGGATTACCTCTGTTGCTGTACCACACGGATCATCACCTTTTGCGCGTTAACTGAAACATCACAATTAAGCAAATGGAAATAAAAGTTGGGATCGACAACTGTAGATTAAACGTAAAGATTAAATTGCAATAATGCGGCTCAGCCAAAAAAAAACTGAATGGCGTTGGAAAATAGTTCAATTCACGACTAATGAAAACCTTTGGTTCCAGTTGTTGTAAACAGATAATAAGTATGGATTTCATATCCGTTGCAGCAGTTATTGACGAAATTCTCAACAATAACACATGAGGTACGGGTGAAGCCGGATTCGTACGATACCAGAATTTCACAGTGTGGAATGGTTTTGAAAACTTCTTTAGCTTGTCAAATTCCTTGTAAATTTTTCGTCCCTCATATGCGTGATAACGGCACGTGTGACGCAGTGGTCGGAGGAGCCCTGCAACACAGACGTGGAACCGATCCCCTCGCACATGGTCCACCAAGCTTTCCATTCTTCTGGAGTCTCTAAATTGGTACCAGACTTGTCTGAGAGGATGGTAGCAACGGCTCGATACATCGGTAGGCCACCGCGAGTCATTGTAAAGGCTAGATATGCAATCAATCACCTTCAATCGATGCTTAATGAAATCAAATGTATGATGCATCCCTCAGGGATTAATCAACGCCGAGAGCTTTATCCTTTATTTGCGTGGTAGTAAAATTCCCAGTATCAACCTTGCGATTGCGCGTTCGATACTTTAGAGTGATCCTTTCTCCTGCTTATGTAACAAATAGGCTCCTGACGCGTACGTTAAGCTAGGAAGTATCGTGGTGTCAGGAAGGTGTGTATGAAGTGTACGAATTCGCGAGTTCTTTAGCCTCTTCACTACTTCATTGATGTTATTACAGTCTCTCAAACACTTCGCTCCTTTCAGCTCAATTGTGGAGCTAAGACGTTCATCATGCTGACTTCTCAACCCAAATGTAAATTCTGTTGAGCATGAATGAGGCACCAGTAACAAATCCGTTTCTCATGAACATCGTTTCCGTAAGATTCAGTCGAAGACTTGTTAGTTCGCAGTCGTTGCCAGAGTCGGCCAACGTTGTGCTAATGTTTGATGTTATAGAAATGATATCATTAGCAGAGCGAAGATGGTGTGATTGCAAACCATCGATTTCTACTCCAATGTTGTCCCAATCCAGTCTACGTATGACTCTAGCGGATGCAAGCCTTACTACCTATACGAATACAAATATTCCTAAATAAAACAGAAATGTCAACTTTTTATTCATTGCCCATTATTATTTCTCACTGCAGGGTATAATATGAAATACAACCACTATCATGGTGATACATTTGGAAAATTAGGATCCCAGGCTAAATTGAACAGCTATTATCCTTTCCAGTGGCTAGCGTGTTACCCATTGCACCACTAATGCCCTCGTTCTGCCTTTCTCTCATCCAGTTTTCTACCTAATGGTTCCAGAAACAATCACCTGTCAACGGGATTGATCTGGGGAGCGCAGATCGGCAACGAAATCCAGTTAAGCTAAGGCTGTAACCGAAATACCAATGCTAACTTTTCACTTATTGCCTATTATTTTTTGACTGCTGATGGCAACGTAAGGTAAAAAACTGGCTGAGAAGGCAGAGTGATGAAACTGAAACTTCTAGAATCCACAGATTTTTGCCTACAGGACAAGAAGCACTTTTGTTTTATCATGGCGAAATTCCAATTTGTTGGAGCCTACGATATGTCTTCCTCTCAGCTTTCGCCTCAAAGCTCACTTTTCGAAGATGAAAGCAAATGAACAAACGGGATTTCGTCTAACAAAGCACAGGGGTGTCTAAACATGTTTGCGGTTGCAGTTCTTACGCTGGAAACTTTGAAACTTTAAAATTACCCTTTCAATTTTTTGAAAATTCTGATTATGGCATATTTAAATTTGTAAGCACACAGTACAAAAACTTCACATACATTAGAGCTTTAGAGCAAAGTTTCTTCTAGGAATGCATAGATTTTCTGAACTCCTGAAATCCTCCATTGAACGAGGAATTATAGTTAGGTGTCGAAAAACCAGTTTCGTCGAGAAACTGATAAATCGAGAGAGATGACGCAATTTCAACTAGAAATAAAGAAGCAGACGTTTCCATGATACTTGATAAATGGCGAAATGTTCCACTCGTCCTCCATGATTTGCACTTTTCTTTTTCTCCTATCCTTCTGCTATTGTTTCTCACTCTATCGTGGCAACGGGATGATGATACTTGCACATCGAACTGCGATGAACAGCTGGAAGCTTACCAACAACAAAAGTCTGGCCGGGCATCCAGCTACGAGTACAACCTTCTTAATGGCGAATCTGGAAAACTACCCAGCATAACTAGCGAAAAGTAGGAAGTTTTTCGTTCTCTTTGGATGAACGGAACTCAGTAACAGTAAACAACTCTGTTTCTCGACAGTGAGAGTAGTAATGTTTACCGGCTTCCGCTCGTACTACTCACTGTGATAAATGAAAATTGTAAACATAGTAACGATAACTCCATATCATGGACTAAAACACTTAACAATTGTCATATTTGAATTAGATAGAACTCTTTCTCGCAACCTTTCCAGTCTTAGGTAACGTTATCAAACTAAAGTAACTTGTAAAAGAAATCAATTCAAACATAACTCAACGTTGTGATGACTACAGTACGAAATATTATAAAGATGAGAACTTAAAAAAATCTTATCGAGGCGGATATTACATAGAAATATCAAATAGAAAAGAATATGCGAACGAACAGATACAATCATTCAAGTATGACTAGAACAACCACAATGATTCTGAGATGTTTGCAAAATTCCGGACCGCAGGTGTCAACGGTGGAGAACGACCGTGCTATTACCCTTTCAGGGTGCTAAAGCGCTCACCACCACACCATGCTGGTCCTTCGTTGGCCTGTAACATTACGGCCAGAACACTTGCTAAGTACACTAAAGGGAAACCACCTCACATAATTTTTCTCGCAAGATACTCATTGAATCAGATAATAAAACAGGAATTACGATCGATATCCGTTCCAGATATACTTTCAGGAGAAAAAAAGAGAGTACGGAAATAAGCCGACGCTGCTAATGTCGTTCCGAGTGATGTCATCGGAATATTGATAAAACCGAGAAATTATCCGCGATAGAGAAAAATCACCATTCTCGGCTGATTAGCAGGATTATGAAGAGAAAGCTGAATGGGTGAAACATGGCTACCTCATGGATTTCTTCGACGTGTATTTCGATCTACAGTGGATTTCCAGAAAAGATACTAATCAAAAAGTACTAAGAAGACGCTTTACAGTTCTTGTTCAGCATTTGTGATATTTTTGGACCCATCGAAGAAAAAAAGAAGAGAAGAGGAAAAATACAGAAGCTTCTCGACGAAAATGATCCACTGTAACTGAGGAGTGATAAAGATTCAACAATCTCACAAAAAGATTCAACAACGATCTCTGACCATCACATTCGTTTATCACAACGATTGTCAGAGGGATGTAACTTCTGATCAACCTCTTTTAATTTCAACTAGTATGAATTTTTAAGCACTTCTTGTTTACTACCTTCATTTCGAACTTCGTTTAACCAATACAGGCATATGCTATACATTGTGAAAAATATCTCACTAATAGAAAGTCGGTCGTAGGAATTATCCAGCTAATGCTACATATTTTAAAACCGACTTTCATCAACCTTGACAAGAATAATTAATACTTTCCTGGATTACTGAACTAACAAGAGGTTGATTGCCATCAGTTTACCGCCTCATCGTGGCTGGAAGGTGTCCCTGGGTGTCGGGCTGCGGTTTACAGCCGGGGATTCATTTCCCAGTAAGGCCTTCCAAGCTGAGAACAAGTTCGAAATTTCCAAAAGGAAGCCCGGCTAAGAGTAAACCAATTCCAGGAATCACTACCGCCCTAGTATTAAACTAGTCGCATGGTGGAAAATCTTCCTCTGATCATCAACGGCGGCGACTGTCTGGGGTGGTAACGACTTGAGGATGGTTTCGTCTAGGCTGTCCTCAGAACGACAGTGACTAAGCCAGTAAGATATACTGAGGTCTGCGCAACCAGTGAAAACCGGTCAATCAAATATCTAAGCATCCAAGTAACAAGAGATTGCTAAAGCTCATTTATTCTGCTACCGTTTCGGCGCCTTCGCCTTCCTCTGACGCGCGTTGATTCGATACGGTGATTCAGATGAGGTCGTCCTCGCGATTTGGATGTTCGTAGTCGCGCTGAGTCGAGCCCAGTTGAGTGGAACAGAACACAGATGAACTTTTTCCACTTATGGGGTCCTCTTGTGAACGACGAATGCTGATTTATTGCTACACTTTCCGATCTATTTTCATGGCAGACATGCATTCTGTATCAGTCGGCACTTTATTTCAGTACTGACACACAGCGTGACAGTGCCCTTCTAGGAAAAAAAAACGCAATTAGTTCGAATCAGCACGGACTTAAAGACGAAAGAACTGAAACGTTAA